ATTCTTCTTAATGCTCTTCGGTCGGCTTTTGTGATATTACTTTTTTTCACATATCGTGGCTTAATATTAACTGAACCAGTTACGTTATATCTTCTAACAATATTTCTCATACTGTACCGCGATAAGTCTAACAAAGTTGCAATTTCTGAGTTTGATTTCCCAGAATTAAAAAGTTTAATTATCAGTAACCGAATTTTCTCACTAATAACCTTTCCTCTACCCATTTTGAAAGCCTTAACTACCAAAAACTATTTTAAACGTATTCTGACAGCTGTGATTAATAAAAACAATTGTCATGGCTTTTATTTTTCACAGCCACCTATGCGTTATAGACTTATTTTGCATTGAAATGAAAATAGGTTGATATGCTGTAATTGCAACATGTGTTATTTTTATGCTGCAAATGTGATTAGGGAGTGATAAAGTTGGTGTTTTCTATGATATCTTATCAAAATATTCATTGTTAATATCTTAAACCTATAACACCCTGCTACATTTTTATTATTTGTGTTTGATAAAAAAAAACTAAGATTTCAATAGTTGGGCCAACTGAAGTGGGAAGGGGCTCGTACGTGATAGCTGACAAGTTTAATTGGTTTAATTAAACTCCAATTTCTAATAGGTTACTTGAATCTATGAAACTAGTTTAATTGAGTCAAAACGTAATCGTTTCATTAAATATAAAAACCCGTTATTTAGACTAAGTATACCAATTTACTCAAAATCCATATCCAAATGAGTTCGTTTCCTCCAAGTAAATCAATCTAATTATATTTATTATATTTGTTTCATTGGTTTTGGTGCAAACATTTGTCTAGTTTTAATGAATTATTTTATTTAGATTTAAAAGTATAATAATTTGATCATCATTAACGAATAAAGGGCCCAATCCTGCCGAGTCCGCACTTTAAATAAACAGTTTAACTGTTTTTGTTACAATGTTTAATTGTTTTAAATGTACCTTTTCTACATAACCTAAATTACCTAAATCTATTAAACAGTTTAATAGAACAGGTAGTTTCATAGTATATTGCTTTCAACTGGTTCCAGAAAATTCAGTTCAATCGAACAGAATATTTTAGTTACTATAATTAAAAAAAATATTACGGATAATGAAAACTTTCCATAACAACTGTTCAATTGACCACGTTTTCAATTTAATCTTCTTTATTATAAACTATTTTGCCACCTTCGCGGCCATGTATGTTTCGACCTTGTTATGTCTTTGTTATTAATATTTGGCCGACCATAGAGAAATTTGAATTTGATAACGACATTTTTTCATTATATTGTAAGTGATCAAGAAAAGGAGAAATTGAATTTATCTCCTCGGTTTCGGCGCCTATGAAATTGGATGTCAAGCACACAATGGAACTGAGGGTTGCTATTGGGGTGTTGTTACCATTTCTCAGGCCCACCAAAGATCGTGTCTGATAGGCTGATGTGGGATAAATGGAATTTAATTGTCTATTCCCTATACCTATAGCAAGCCCACTCTCTAAATGAGAGCTAATTCCTTATTTTCTCGTATCTCAAAATATAATTGTTGTTATTAAACAAATCACAAAATTGCATTTTTCGTCGATATGTATAATTATTGTAGAAGTACAAACATGAGTATGACCATTAATTAACATATTCTGGTGTGTGATTGGTGATTGGTCTTTTTTCTGGTTGGTTCTCTAGGTAGAATGTGTAAAGCATTCGGCATTCTAGAAAGTATAATAGTCAGGGGCGTAGCAACAGCTGTATCAGCCGTATCAACGTTATTAGGAACGTCAAGCATGAATCAAAGTTATATAAGAAATACAAAAAGAGTCCCAATAAACATCTACTTGTACAGTACAAACGTCTTAGCTCTGAGGTAAAGCGTCAAATATTTGTGGCCTATAAAAATTATACACATACCATAATGCTGAGATTTCAGTCACTTAAGATCCTAAATATTTTTAGAGCTTCATGAATACAAAAAATTGGACTACTAGGATTCCTGGTAAAATGAAGTTGAATGACTTCTCACTGCACGATCGTTACAGTGCTGTCAATGCATTTGCAGATTTTTTTAATAATGTTTTTGTTGATCCATCTACTCGTAATGATTTTACTGAATTCAGGAATCCTGTTACTCAAGTTAATATATTTTGCATTGACATTCATGAAAATGAGATTATTGCTGCATTCAACAATACTCAAGAATAAAGTAACCGCCGGCCTTGACATCATCCCCTCCTCCATAGTCAAAGATTGTATCCATGTCTTTGTTAAACCATTATTAAAAATATTCAATCTGACTATAGCGACCAATACATTTCGTGATATTTGGAAACTTTCTAGAGCGACACCTATTTTCAAATCGGTGGATAATACTGATATTAAAAACTATAAAGCGGTGGCAATGTTGTCGAATTTCTTCAAATTGCTAGATATGATATTGCATAATAGAATTTACTCCGCAGTTCATAGATGTCTGGCCCCTTTTCAGCATGGTTTTATTACTAAGAGATACACAGCATCTAACTTAACAATCTTTACTCAGTTCACTATTGTGTGTGTGTGATTTTGCTCAAGCATTCGATAGGGTGGACCATGGCATACTTTTAAAAGAAACTTTCTCATTATGGATTCCGTTCATCAGCTTTAGCGCTCATTCAACGTTATCTTTACGAAAGGGAGCAATATGTTACTTCCAATGGCTTCAAGTCGTACCAGTAGGGTATGTAAATCGAGAGTGCCTCAGGGTTTAAACCTCTGTCCTTTATTGTTGACCTTATTTATTGGAAATATTGCGCAATATTTTAGTTGCCACTTGATAAATTGGAGTATAGTTGATATTGTATATTCATTTGTATCACCAAGGTCGAATCTATCTCTCTTCATATCCCGGGTGTTCCTTAATGATATGCGAATATTTAATGGTGTGAATCTACATGGAAAATTAATGTTAGTTTGCTTCATAAACTATGGTCCAAAGATGTTTCCTCACAAAAGCTCGGGGTGTTGAAGTTTTAGAAAAAAAGTGTAAATTAATTAATATTTTCAGATCCGCTTCAGATATTTCACTGATATTCAGTACGTAGTGAAAGTTAATAAAGTTGCATATTTTTCAATGCAAAAATAATTTATAGCTTTAACAGTGGCGTGCGTACGGGTATTGACTTCGATATTTTTCAAGAAAACAATGGTACGCCACTGGTTTTTTGCCAAATAAAAATTATTTTTGAATTCCCCGTTCAATTTAAAACAAATGATCTCTCTTGAATTGTTTTTTTTCGATGCGCTATTTTTGAGTAAAAAAATAAAAACCGTTCGTTTGTCTGCAAAATTATTATTCATTTAATTGGAAAAATTAAACACATTAGGGGTAATGAACAACAACAAGACAAGACATAACATTAAAATCAACGAAATGATTACAAAAACTGTTGAAAATGGCCCCCTTCACTGAGTACGCATGCTTCCACCCTCATCATGGAATTGGGCACTCGATGAAATATCCCTGGAGTGTTTTTTATTCTATCACAAGCTGCAACTATTCTTTCTCTTAATTCCTCTGCTGTGTTAATTGGACTTGTGCTGTTGCTCCATCATGCAGTACCACATATTGTTTCTTATTACTAACGGAACATCATCAAGCAGCAAAGCCTACTGTTGTTGAAGAAAATTGAGGTAAGTCTGTCCGTCAAGTCGTCCCGGCAAGGAGAATAGGCCAATAAAGTGGTTGCCAATAATGCCTGCCAATACGCTAACCGAAAATTGGTGTTGGAAATGGGTTTCGGTTATTAATATAGGGATTTACTTCTGTCGACAAATGATTATTGTGGAAATTCTGAATGGCATTTCGAAAAAAGTTAACTTCGTTCGTGAACAGAATCATTCATTCAAATTGCGGATTTTGTGTAATTTTTTAAAGATACCACTGACAAAAGGTCATACGCCTTGGGAAGTAATGCCTGTTCTCTTAAAATATAGTAAGGATATAACAAAAAATCCAGTAAAATTCTCCAAACAATTTGATGGCAAATATTTAAGTGTCTAGCGATCTTCCTCGCACTCATTTCAGGATGTTCTTCGACTTCGTGCAGCACTGCTTGCTCAATTTCAGGTGTTCTCACACTTAGAGATCTACCTTCAGATGTTCCTTTTCCGACAGAACCAGTTTCAAAAAAACGACGATGGATATTAGAGAAGGTTCGACTATCTGGCAAAGCACGATCGGGATACCTCTGGTGATGAATCCGTCTGGCTTGCTCACCATTACCGTCGGCAATGCCATATACGTAATGCATTTGCGGCTTTTTTGCATTTGAATAATTCACCATTATTATCAAGATTGTAAAAACTAAATAAGTAACGAAAAAAATATCACAGCGAACAGATTTGAATAACAAAGACTTGTCAGACGTCAAAAGCCAGTGACATATTCCAGAGCAACTAGATATTGCTAAATTACATTCTTCAATTATTACATTAATTTTCTTGGACAATAGAACGGTTTTTATTTTTTTACTAAAAAATGGCGCATCGAAGGAAAGCAACTAAAGAAAGATCATTTGTTTTAAATTGAACGAAGAATTCAAAAGTAATTTTTATTTGGCAAAAAACTAATGGCGAACCATTTCTTTCTTAAAAAATATCGAAGTCAATACAAGTACGCACGCCACTGTTAAAGCTAAAAATTATTTTTGTATTGAAAAATATGCAACTTTATTAACTTTCATGACGTACTAAATATCAGTGCAATATCTGAAGCGGTTCTGAAAATATTAATTAATTTCCATTTTTTTCCCAAAACTTCAACACCCAGAGTTTTTGTGAGGAAACATTCTTGGATCATAGTTTATAAAGCAAACTAATATTGATTTTTCATATAGATTCACACCCTTAAATATTCGCATATCATTAAGGAACACCCTGTATAACAAAGTCAGCACATGGAAGATAGAAAATTTGGACTTTATGCTTTGATAATCATATTTTTGTTTGTACATTTGTAATGCAAAATGCAACCACGAAAGCCGAAACCAGATATGAAAATGGGCATGAGTAGGGGAAAGCTGGGAGATATGCGAATCTTTAAAGGTAAGTAGAGCCGTTGAAAGTATCTATTGGTAGATTGCTTCTGAATTTGGATAGCAATGGCGATGCGTGACTTTTCCTAAACTGTTACCAAAACGCGATGAGAAAAATCTTATTAAAAAAGGTTTATTTTGACCGCTCCATGTAAAAGTTTTTGATTATTTTAGGTATTGTATTTAATTTTTTTTTAAATCAAGGTAAACATTGCTGGGCGTCTGCGGCACTTGATATACCTCATCGTCTTACGCTATGACTAATCCAAGCCTTTTTTTGGCAATTAATGTTAACAATTCCCAGTAATTTTCTTTATTGTCAGAGTCATCCCCTTCAAAATGACCCGGAAATGGTAATGCTTGTTTGGCCAAACAACCTACAACATCTATAAGTGTGCTGCCTAAAAGCTTGGTTAAGACAACTTTCGATTATTGTTTTGCCAAACGAATCAAATTGGCTACACATCTCACATGTAAAGCAGAAATTTCATGTATCTTCTTCAGAACCCTAAAACTATTTAAATCGTTGCTGGTCCACCCATTTTGTTTTGTAGAAAACAGAAGACATGGCCAACAATAGAAACTGTTTCTTGCAACCACCTAACCAAGAGTTTTCGATATACCAACTAAATTTAAAATATCGAACTACTTTTTTCATTCCTTTTTAAAATTACATAAAATAAGTTGATATTCCATTTTCAGTGATCTCATTTTTTTCTTCAAAATTATACAATGAGAATGACTTTTCAAGTAGTTAATCGATTACGCAGCGTCACTCATCCATGTTTAATTGCACGCACACTGCAGCCGGCAACCAACACGATTACTAACGAGGGAGAAGTGAGTAATCAAATCAAAAAATGGTAACAAGCCTACACAATAATCGCGGCGGTCCAAGCACTTGGGCGACCGCGATCAGACACGAGCCGGCACCGACTGTCCCCGACAGACTATCAAGTGTATCCATAAACGAAAATGGTAACAACCAAGTCGAGGCGAGTTGTTACCAGTTTGATTGTGGATTATTATGCATGAGGAGGCTTTTTCCAGTTCTACTAACCTTGTGCAGTTCAAAAATCTCATGTCTCATAGCAGTCGCGATGCTCTGGCATTTAGGATTTTGCCTGCGAGTCTACTTCGGTGTAAAAAAACGCCCGGTTGTAGATAAAGCTATTTTTCTGTATTCCAATTTTGACCATGTACTTCCTTGGTATTAACATATTAACAAAGTAGTCACGAAATGATATTATCACGCTAACCTACCAACAATGAAGCTAAAACGTCGAAGCAAAAACACGAATATATGTCCACACAGAGCTTTACCGAGGGGCATGTCACATTACAATGTAGATTACCCTAATAGTACCGGTGACAAAAAATCCCGTCCATCTGGCTTAATCCATCCATCCATCCACCTAATATTTTTATCACTGTGTGTCGCCGCCCCTCTGTCACCCCCCTCCACGTTAATAGCCCCCTTAATCAAGCCTGCCGCCTCGGCGACGGAGCGCCGTGATTGGCCGTCTGTCGGCCAACTGGTGGTAGTGGGAGGGGCCAAGCGCTCAGAGGGGCACAGACCATGCCGCGACACGGTGAGAAATCGCGGATTTGATGTCTACGTTGTCCCATGCACGGAGGTGAAGGTGACAATCTTCAGTGAAGGTGTATAACGAAAGGAAGACTTAATCAGCGCGAGTTGTTTGTGGTTGATGAGCTTATGTGTGAGTTGAAGCCGGTGTAGGAGGTCGGACGTGTTATTTTAAGGTTAGTTTTAATCATGTTGTTTTGAGTTTGAAACTTGCAAGTTCATTAGAGTCATAGTGGCAGAGCCCGGGAAAACTTTTAGAGTAACCGAAAAACAACCTTCCACAAGAAAACGGACTCAATTTATGATGACCTCCTTTTCGTGAACCGTAACACAATTAAGAATATTAAAATTGATTTACCTGTATCATCTTACAACTAATACCTACTTATTACTAATAATCTTAATGTACAAATAATAATATCTAAACATTATGATCTCGCGCACATGCTCTGAATTAAGAAAAAAGTTTAATTAAAACAATAAAAATTTTAATTGGACCAACTAAAACATTTAATCAATTTATGTGACAAGTAACAAGTTTAGTTAGTTTGATTAATCTCCGATTTATAAAACGGTTTTCTTGAATCAAGGAAACTAGTTCAATTAAACCAAAATACAATCGTTCAATTAATTTTATCTAACCGTTTAGACTGAGTACACTAATTTATTTAAGATTAATGACCTACTAAAATTAGTCTACCTCCAAGTAAAAGAATTTAATTATATTTATTAAAATTGTTTGATTAGCTCTAAAACAATTTTTATGGATCTATGAAACTAGTTTAACTAAGCCAACACGCAATCGTTTAATTAACTTTATCAAACCGTTTATTTAGATTGAGTACATCAATTTATTTAATATTAATGAACTATTAAAATGAGTGTACCTGCTCCAGGTGAACCAATTTAATTATATTTAATAAATTTGTTTAATTATTTTTGGTAAAAATATTTGACTAGTTTAAATGAAATATTTTATCTAAGTTTAAAAGTATATTTGATTATTTAGAATTAAAAAAAAATAAATTGCACCTTAGCGAATGATGCAAAAAATTTGGAAAACTTCGAATCAGAATAAATACGTTCAAATTGTATAACCTTAACAAAATTCGTTCTTTTCAATTTTCATTGATTGTGAAGTTATTATACAGTGCGTGCCATTTTTGATACACGAATTTCAGTAGGGGGCGCCGTAGTAGTTGTTTAAAGCACACGTGTCCAGTTCATCATGGAACGCTACACGATTCCACAACGCATCCGTATTGTTAAAACGTTTTACTTAAATAATGATTCCATTGTTGCAACGATTCGGAAGCTACGACAAGATTTCGATTGAAATAATGCGCCCAGTGTCAAATTTGAACAATCAGGTGTAGTTAAAGACTTGCCAAGGCCGTGGTCGAGCTGTTCATGAAAGTGTAGTGGGGCGCCCTGAGACGTCTACCAGACATCGTTCTCAAGGACTGGGTATTCGTCGCACGTCATCATGCACTATTTTAATAAAATAGTTGCATTTGTGGGCGTACAAAATTCAGTTAACCCAAGAACTACAGCCAGCTTAATATCCAAAATAACGATTTTTACCGACAACTGATAATGAACGGTGAAGCCCACTTCGAAGTGAACGGATTTGTTAATAAGCAGAATTGTCGTATTTGGGCATTAGAGAACCCTCGTGTCATCCATCAACGACCACCACATTCTCGTCTAGTCACAGTTTGGTGCGGTGGTTGATGTGAAGGTGTCATTGGACTTTACCTCTTTGAAGACGCTGCAGGTAATTCTCTTACTGTCACTGACGAGCGCTACCGTGATATGGTGCAAAACTTTCTGGCTCCTCAAATACAACAATTTAACCTGAAAAACATGTTGTTCCAGCAGGACAGAGCAACTTGTCTAGCTAGCTAGACAATGAATCTTTTGCGAACAATATTTCCGGGACGTTTAATTTCTCCATTTGGTGATGTCAACTGGCCACCAAGGTCACCGGATTTAACGTATTCTGACTTTTTATGGGGATTTTTGAAAAATAGGGTTTTTGCCAACAATCCGAATACTGTAGAGTAGCTGAAGAACAATATTACGGAAGCGATTGAAGATATTCCTCGCGAAACCTACCAAAAAGTGCTGAAAAATGTAAGGAAGAGGGCTCAGGTTTGCGCGGCTTATAGAGGTTGACATTTGTCTGATATTATTTTTCAAACATAATTTCTAAGCTTAAGCTAAAGACTAAGATGAAAAAAAAATGGATGTACTTTATTTCAATTTACAAATATTAGTTTTACCAGTTATTTGTCTGATTGTCCAGAAACAGGTTACATCACCTGTAACTAGAATCAATTCTTTGTTTCATATTCAGAATGTAGGAAAAGGGATACCTGAAACTAAATAAGGCTACTTGATCACGTGTACAAAATTTCTAATAACACTGGACAACAAATTTTAGTTTTTTAATTGTATCTTGTGGGAAAAGTGCACTTCTTTGTTAATTTTGGGGCGCTGAATCCAAAAATGACAATGAAATAAAAAAATTAGTTGCGGTTTAGAAAAAAAACTTTTTATTTTTAAGGATATATTAAAAAAAGTAACAAGATTCATATACTTATAAGAATCACTATATGCGCTGTCTTTTTGCTGTTCTTTTATGGATCGTTTCTGGAGCATCTCTACCAAGAGTCCAACAGTAGTCTGCAAGCATGGAAGGATTCCACTTTCCCTGGTACCTTTTTTCCATTGTTGAAATATCCTGATGAAAACGTTCGCCGTGCTCATCACTTACGGCTCCGCAATTGTCAGGAAAAAAGTCCAGGTGTGAGTGTAGGAAATGTATCTTAAGAGACATATTACAGCCCATCTTTTGATACGATGACAGCATATTTTTGACAAGGGTTTTATAGTTGTCAGCTTTTCTATTTCCCAAGAAATTAGTGACCACCAGACGGAAATCATTCCAAGCAGTTTTTTCAATACCTGTTAAAGTGTTTTCAAACTGTGTATCTTTCAAAATATTTCGAATCTGTGGCCCAACAAAAATACATTCTTTAACCTTTGCCTCACTTAGTCTTGGAAATTTCTGACGCAGGTATTGAAAAGCTGACCCATCTCTATCTAATGCCTTGACAAAGTTTTTCATTAGGCCCAACTTGATATGCAGTGGTGGTAATAATTTTTTTTTCGAATCTACTAATGGCATATGCTGTACATTTTTTTGACTTGGCTCTAGGAATTGACGAACAGGCCAGTTTTGTCTGGTGTAATGAAGTGCCTTTGCCCGACTGTCCCATTCACACAAAAAACAGCAAAACTTTGTGTAGCCTAGCTGCAGCCCAAGTAAAAGTGCAACAACTTTCAAATCGCCACAAATATGCCATTGGTGCTCATCGTATTTTATGCATGTCAATAGGTACTTCATATTGTTATATGATTCTTTCATTTGAACTGCATACCCTACAGGAAGAGATGGTAAAATATTTCCAATATGCAATAACACTGCCTTTAAACTCAATGTTGAACTGTCTATAAACAATCTCCATTCTTCTGGGTTATAGTTTATATTTAAAGCCGCCAGTAAGCCGTTAATATCACTACAGAAAACCAAGTTATTCTCCATATTGAAAAATGGTTCTAAGTCTTTGTGGCGTTTACGAAAAACACATACCGAAACATCGTCTTCTAACAAGTTCCACTACTGCAGTCTTGATCCAAGTAACTCTGCCTTACATTTTGGAAGTCCTAAATCTCTTACAAGATCATTTAATTCTGACTGTGTTATTTTGTGCGGTTGGTGGCATGACGTGCTCGGTATGAAATCAGGATCTCTTGACGTTGATGGCATATCTTCTTCCTGACGAATCACTCGATCGCCATGATCTGATTCGTTTTCTGATTCGCAAGTGTAGGATTCTGGGGGTTTTGGAATAGGATTTTCGTCACTGTGAGGCACAGGTCTCATCGCAGATGGTATGTTTGGGTAGTTAATAACCGATTTTTTTTTCTTGGACATACCTGTGGATTGTCCAACACAAGGTACCATGCAAAAGTAACAATCATTAATATGATTTGTAGGCTCTCTCCAAACCATTGGGACAGCAAAGCGCATAGACCGTTTTTTGCCATTTAACCAGCTCCTCAGACTTGAAGCACATGTATTACAGCGGATGTGGGGTGCCCACTGTTTGTCTGTTTACAACCGAAATAAAGCTGATATGCCTTTGTTATTAGTGGAGTAATAGACCGTCTCTGAGACGCAAAAGTCACATCACCACACACGTAACAAAACTGATCTGGATGGTTTACACACTTTCGAGACATCTTGCATGAACGCTGTCAGCCAACTGAGGAAAAAATGGCTAATATAAAACAATATAATGTACACGTATGTATAGCGTAACACAATCATGCCGATTACATCATCTTTCCTTGCCAAATATAAAAATGTAGCACGTGCTTTCTTGTGAATTACAGTATATTAACACTGTCGCAGCAGGAACACATATAATTACCGTATCTCTAAAACTTGAACTAATATTGAAAAAATAAGTTTCATTCCGGTTTCAGCACATTAAAAATAGTAATATTTTGTTGATTTTATTTAGGATATTTTTTGGCTGTTGATCAGTGTAATAAAGCAATATTGCACTCACCCACATTTAACGCGTTTACATATAAAAATAAATTCAACATCACTTTAAGCAAACTAGGATATTCTCAAATACTACAAAGTCTGCAGCAGGAGGTTCCACTTACTTTGTACGTTATAAAAGAAGCGCATCAATCCTATGTTAAGCACACGTTTGGTATAAATGCCCTTCATTGTCCTAAATATGGCTGCATAAATTAAATGTCAAAGTTCCTATTCCGTCATGTCAGCAGTGGCTCCCCTATACAGTGTGTTTCATTGGGAGCGAGTAAATATTCCTACAACACAGGCTCCTCTCGAAAATCACAAATGAAACTGAGGACTTCGAAGCTCGTCACCGGAACCTCTGTCGTATACTCCAGGTCATTAACGAATAAAGCACCGAGTCCTGGCTTGTCCGCGATTTAAATAAACAATTTAGCCGCTTTTATTAAGATGGTTAATTGTTTTAAATGTACATTTTCTTCATAAACTATATAACTACCTTAACTAACTAAATAGCTTAATAAAAAAATACATGGTTTGCTATTTTCAAGCAAATTAGTTTGATTGTATACTAAGTGACATATAAATCCGAACACCCAGTTTAAATGGTTTTATTTTAATAATGTTTTGTACTTAATGAAGCATAATAAGTAAATGATAAAAATTTCAAAATGATTGCACTGCTTTAAAGCCCTTTGACCTTTAATAATGTGTGGATGCACCCTGATGTGCTACGCATTCTCCAACGCGCCTAGGCATGCTTCTGATCAGGTGGTCAATGTCCTCCTGTGGTATCTCATTCCAGGCAACCACCAACTCCTCTCGAAGTGCTTCTAGAGCCTGAGGAGGACGTTGCAAATTGAGCAATCTCCTACCTATCATATCCCACACGTGCTCAATTGGGGATAAGTCGGGAGATCTTGGTGGCCATGGTAACAATGTGACATCATTATGTTGAAATAAGTCTATTGTGATTCTTGCAACATGTGGTCGGGCATTATCTTGTTGGAAAGTTGGATCTGCCAGGGTGTCAAGATCGGGTAAAAGATGGGGTTCTAGAACTTCGTGGATATAACGCTGCGCGTTCATGTTACCTCTGATGAAGATTAAAGGTGACCTGGAACCATAAGCTATAGCACCCCAAACCATAACTCCAACAGTGTGATGAACATGTCTTTCAACAAAAAACTGTGGATTCCTCCTTTCACCACGTCGCCTTCTAACCCTGGCACGACCATCGTGCATGCCTAAACAAAATCGAGACTCGTCACTAAAGACAATACTGTTCCATCCCTGATCCCAGAGTGACCGTTGTCTGCACCACTCAAGGCGATTACGTCGGTGTTCTCGAGTTAAAGGGAGGACCCAGTGTGGCCGGTATGAAAACAAGCCAAACTTCTCATTTGTCGGTAAACACTTCGCATGCCAATAGGTCTTCCGTGTTCTGCAAACCATTCATGTGCAATGGACCTGGTAGTGGAGACACGGTCCCTTAAGGCCAATAATCTTAGGCGGCGATCTTCACGGTCTGTTGTTCTACGGCGGCGTCCAGTGCCGCTTGCTCTTTGCGTTCGGCCTTCTCGAAGCCATGCCTGACAACACCTAACCACAGTGTCTAGACTTCTTTGCACTCTAACTGCAATTGCCCGAAAAGAAAGTCCAGCTTCCCGAAGTCCCACTATACGGCCCCTATCAAACTCACTAAGATGACGAAATCGTACAGGTCTCCGTACTCTAGGCATCGTAACCGATCGTAAAGGATGCCAAGAACCAAAATCCGCCAACGTTGATTCTTTACTGCGGCTGAAATATTCATTTTTAGAGCGTTAGTGAATTAAAAAAAAGCAGTATAAAAACCAACTGATAAGGCTGAACATTTTTTCACTTGTTATTTACAGTAAGATAAATACATTCACCAACTTTTATTAAAATAAAACCATTTAAACTGGGTGTTAGGATTTATATGTCACTTATCATTATAAAAGAAAAGCGCATCAATTCTATGTTAAGCACACGTTTGGTATAAATGCCCTTCATTGTCCTAAATATGGCTGCATAAATTAAATGTCAAAATTCCTATTCTGTCATGTCAGCAGTGGCTCCCCTATACAGTGTGTTTCATTGGGAGCGAGTAAATATTCCTACCATGGTTTCGCATAATTGACCCATTTCACAACTACTACACAAATAACGGTAAACACAGGCTCCTCTCGAAAATCACAAATGAAACTGAGGAGGTCGAAGCTCGTCACCGGAATATCTGTCGTATACTCCAGGTCATTAACGAATCAAGCACCGAGTCCTGGCTTGTCAGCGAGTTAAATAAACAATTTAGCTGCTTTTATTAAAATGTTTAATTACCTTGAATGAACCTTTTCTTCATAAACTAAATTACCTGAACTAATTAAATAGCATAATAAAAAGACATGGTTTGCTATTTTTAAGCAAATTAGTTTGATAGTATACAGGGTGTAAACGTTATGGTAGTCATTATTGAAACGGGTATAGACTAAAAACGTACCTACTAATTAAAGCTTGTCATATTTTAGATGACTTTATATAAAATGATTTTAGTGACATGCCCTAAGTGATAATTCATTTCGTTTTCGTGTGTTCTGCATTTTCATATTTTTATTGTAAGATTGTTCACTTACGTGTTATGATTTGTAGTTTTTGTTTTTCATATGTATAGTTTGTCATTTATTTTCTACTTGATTTAACTTTAATACTACGGATTTGTGTAAGCATACCTTATGTGATAATACGAATACATTACTACTACTACAAAAAGTATTTCACTCAGTACTTTTGTAGCATTTCCTGAAGGCGAAAGTAAACATTTTCGAAAGCTTGAAATGAATACAGAACATGTTTTTTCTGCCCTTCTAATTGCAACCTCAAGATTTTTATTTTACATCTTGAAAAACGTGAGCATACCTCCAGCACCACCATGTCTCCTTTCCAGAACACGCTGGCTTCTATCAAGTACCCTGCGAGTACCGCGTCTCCAGTAACCACGGTTCCCCCCATACCGGATTGGTGTCTACGACCTCCTGGGCCTCCGTCTGCAGAAGATAGCGAGCCGGACTACGAGGACATGGTGGAGCATTCGCACCAGGAGGCGGTGACTGCAGCAACTGCCCCGCAGTTTGTTGCCGGGTTGTTTGCCCCAATCATGGCTGGGGGCGCTGTGAAGCATCGTGGAATGCACTATGTGGACGGAAGTAAGTCAAGTAATGATAGTTTATTATGACTCTTTGACATTGCGGGTGCCTCCTTTATTGGACAATTTTGAATTTTTACTGCCTCGGAGTCTCGATTGAAACAAAAAAGATAGATAGAAAGTTCCCCCGCGATTTTGCAGGCATGCGTCGGTATACAGGGTGTTAATAAAGTATGTAGACAAACTTTAACCATCGAATCATTGGTCAATTTGAAGACTAAATGTTCATATGAACATGGGTCCGTCAAGGCTTTCTTTTCGAGCTAGAGCACTATCACTAAAGAAATACGAGTAATGTTCCAAATATTTCTATGAATAATGAAACGTTTATTTATTGAACAGCTGGTATAACCTATGATAAATTTTGCATGTTTTACAAGTTGCTGAAGCTCAATATGAACGTGGATGAAAATAGTATTATCCTGTATTTTTGGAAAAAAATTATTTAGACGGTCAGTAGTTAAATATTGAAAGTATCGTGATCAAAACAAATCACGTCATGCTATTTTTTCAAAAATACTGGATATCATTATCCATATCTACGTACATGGAGGGTCTGAAAACAGCCGTAAATCAAGTGATATTCACCACAGGGCATACTTAATTAAAATAAAATACGTTCCATTCTTTTATAATTTTTTAGAACAATATCATTTCTTTTAGTGCTAATATGCTCTAGCTTGAAAACAAACCGTTGCGGACCCATGTTCATATGGAAATTTCGTCTTCAAATTGATCAAGGATTCGATGGTTAAAGTTTGTATAGGTATTTTATTAACACCCTGTATACCGTGGAAGTATGCATGGTAACTGGTGAGCAGAGTTTTTAATATACTTAATTTCTCAGATTGCGTATCAGATAAATAGCTTTTGTCAAGGAGTTGGCAACATGATTTGCATCCCTATCCCAGCTAAAAGAAAAGTCGACGTGCCCCTGAGGAACTTAAATGTTCTTGCGTTGTCAGCAGTTGCGTCAAAATTCCATCTTAGCGTAAAAGTGACGTTGAAATCTTCAAGATAGTGGATTAGCATATACCATTTTGAAGCCCTTTATGAGTGTTCTGTATCACTGGATCGCGCCCAACTGACATCACTCTTGCCTAAAATATAATAAAGTGTGTCTCAATTTCTTTTCGAATTAAGCGAGTATTTATATTTCAACTTGAAGAGGAATGGTTGCGATCAAACATGAAGCAGGACATCCGGTAAATGGCCCCCACGAAGCCTCTGGCACAGGGTCAGACTTTTTTTAAAATTCTGGATAACGTTTTCGCACAACTGTGGCTCTATTTCGTCGATAACGCGCCGAATCTCTTCAAATCCAGCGCTTTTGTTGAGACACCTATCTATGCATCAATTTCATCATCCAGAATTTCAGCTTGCTTGACCGGTGCCGAGAATAAGTGGAAGGACCTTAAAGACAAAACCTCTCTTTCAGTTCACCACCCCCACTTCACCAATGGCGGCGGCAACTTGCACCTTCACCAACAGGCCCGCCCTCTGCCCACCAGTGGCGCACCAACGCCATCTACATCCCCCGCTTCATCCGTTTTCACCATAGACAGCATCCTGGCGCCCAGGCCGAGGAGAGCCTCCCCGCAGACGCTGTCTGTACAACCCCCTGCGACGGCCATCCATCTGGGCCATTTGGCCAATGCTGTGGCTGCCAATTCTGGCTTCGGGACGGCGCATGCTGATTTTCTCGGTGAGTTTTGAAGTTTTTTCCAACAAGCGGTTAAGAACATATTCCGTATTATTTCTCTGCGCATGCCCGAAGTAAGTACAGTTCAGAACCACTTGCGAACTGGTCTGTTGGAATAATACATGTCTTGTTGTCGTAAATATAACCTCATTTGAAGTAAAATTTAAAATTATATATAAGTTTCCGTATGCTAAACGTGTATTTGAGATGATGTATAGTTTTATGAACTGTAAATGATACGAAAAAATTGGGAAAAAGAGACGGTAGATTTAATGAACGATGAGGTTCGTAGAATATTTTAAACAAATACTACCACGTTTTGGAAGAGCTGGAAGAATCCATCATTTTGCTTTTAGTGGAATGTTAATGCTTGACTTGAAATAAAAGTTCACTTTTTGATTTAAGAAAAAATACAAACTTAATGAAAAGAAAACGAACGCGTCGATCAAGACCTCCCCCCACTTCCTCGCGTATACGTTTAAGATTTGAAATGTGAACTTCCCCCCTGGACACTCTGTATAAGGTTAATATTACATGACTGAAACATATTTATTAAAATAATAATAATAACATTTATTGCCCAACAGTTCTTATAGCTTTATAACGTTTATAGTTCAATTTACAGGACAAAGAATTGAAATCTGGCATGGCAGTAAAAAACAATACTAATTTGTTCAAATTTAAGAGAATAAACAAACATTAATATGACATGCATAACGCTATTTAAGGTGCTGTCATAAAAGACTCTTGAGCTGAGAAAGGGAACATATGAAGATACCACAAATACTGCATATGATGTTGAAGTTCATGCACATAACTCTTACAGGAGATATTAAAGCTAAAGTTTGTATTTGCACGGGTGCCAAAAAAGATGGTATTGATTCTAGAACATGTGCGTGGAACTAAAAATTGAAGCATGGATAAAAGGTATAAAGAATCAACAATACGAGGCATATTTCCAACAATAATTGGTAGTGAACCACTCTGAGGATAAGCTGAATCGATATTAAAAACCAGCTACTTGAGAAATTTGTTTTGAACATGATGGATTTGACTCATAATAAGGACTCTAAATCGACGAAGCATATTCCAATTTGAAACGTACATATACCAAGTATACGTATAGTGTTTTTAATCCAGCCATAAGCTTACAGTGAAACCTGAAGCTCTATTAGCACTACTTACAATTTGAGTAATGTGATCGTCAGCATTCATCCTTCTATCAAAAATCACAAACCGCTTCATGTCGACATTTTCTCCGATGTTTTAAGTGTAAATTACTATCTGTTGTTTTCGACAGAATATAACCACAATGCACTTAGCGATATTCACATGCAGTTTATTCAATCGACACCAGTCTTCCAACTTGATAATTGACACTGTAAGTACTCACAATCGGTGATGCTGTTGATTTCAAAAAGCAATTCCAACTCATCGGCAAATATTAATGTTTCACAATGAATATTACCACTTATATCGTTAACAAAGAGCAAAAAAGCAATGGTCCGAAATTCGAACCCTGTGGTACCCCTGAAGATGCTGTAAAGCGAAAAGTCTCAAAGCCATCGTTTGATGTGAATAGCTGGCGATTATCTAAATAGGACTTTAATAAAGAGATCGAGTTGTCAGTCAAACCAGACAAATTCAGTTTGGCAAGAAGTATTCTATGATCAACTTATCCGCATTTGTCTATGTAATTTTTGTTTCTGGTTCTTGGAACTCCTATAATTAGTCCAAGATCTCCATCTTCACTTCAATCTGTTCCAAGGTCATCATCGTCACCCGGTTTTTGAATATTTGTAATAAACGGCAGTTAAGGATTAAGGCCCCTTCCGATGACTGGCTTTCCATATTTCTGATAATTGCAGTTTTGGAAACTGCAGCATGAATGATTTCTGTGGAAGGATGGTCAAACCACTTTCTTAGGTCTTTTAGTTTTTTGCTCTCTATCTTACCCTCTATTATAAGCTCGTATCGTTCTCAACATATGGCAGTTTCACAAGTTTTCATTTATCTTGACCTGTTTGTATGTTAGTGTGTATGTAATGGGTGATTTTTTTGCTAGTATCTTTTTGGCAACACCGTTTTTGACCGATGTCGCGTGAATCGTGTCTTGTGTCATTGTCAAACTTGTTCAGTTTGGTCTATAATTTAACCATGAATCGACTTACGAATGAACAACGTTTGCAAATTATTGAATTTTACTATCAAAATTCATGTTCGGTTAAGAGAGTGCATCGAGCACTGCTTCCAATTTATGGGCAATTTGGTCGGCCTACTGAGGGAGCTATTCGGAAGCTTGTGACTAAATTTCGAACCCAGTTTACATTATTGGACATTAAACCACCAACACGCAGACGTAGACTGAGGCTGTATCCGCCAGTGTTGGTGATGACCGTGAAATGTCAATTCGCCGCCGTTCGCAGCAATCGGGCCTCTGTTACTCCACTACGTGGAAAATTTTGCGACAGGATTTGGGTGTAAAACCTTATAAGATACAGCTGGTGCAAGAATTGAAGCCTCACGACCTCCCACATCGTTTCCAATTTGGTAAATGGACGCTGGCAAAGTTGGAGGAAGTTCCACATTTTTATCGAAAAATTGTGTTCAGCGACGAAGCTCATTTCTGGTTGAATGGGTACGTTAACAAGCAAAATTGCCGCATCTGGAGTGAAGACCAGCCAGAAGCATTGCAAGAGCTACCAACGCATCCCAAAAAAATCACTGTTTGATGTGGATTATGGGCCGGTGGCATCATCGGGCAGTACTTCTTCAAAGACGACAATGGCCGGAACGTAACTGTGAATGGCGAGCGCTACCGTGCGATGATAACAAACTTTTTTTTACCCAAAATGGAAGAGCTGGACTTGGTTGTCATGTGGTTTCAACAAGGCGGTGCCACATGCCACACCGCACACGAAACAATGGCCCTATTGAGAGGCGAGTTCGGTGAACAGTTTATCTGTCAATTGGGCGCCTAGATCGTGTGATTTAACGCCGTTGGACTATTTCTTGTGGGCCCATGTTAAGGCTAACATCTACAGGGATAAACCAGCAACGATTGACGCACTGGAAGCCAATATTGAAGCATTTATTCGTGAGATACCGGCCGATATATTGGAGAGAGTGTGCCAAAATTGGACCTTGCGCATGGGCCATCTAAAGCGGAGCCGCGGCTAACATTTACATGAAATAATCTTTAAACATTAAATTATATCGACCGTTCTACCGACTCAAATAAATATTTAATCGTTTTTCAAATTTTTTGTGTTTTTTTTGAAAATCAAATCCTATACCTC